GATAAGCAGACCAATCAATGGGACGACTTCGCTCGATTAAATGTTGTCCAAATGTCGCATTTAAATGTTCCTGAACATCAAAACTGAAATGGGTGGGGCTCTATTATGCTGAAACTATATATTTTGGCACAACAACTGAAGCATCTGTTGGTCACCCAACAGTTCAGGCAAGAATTCCTCCTGACAAATCTTACAACACTATCTGTCCAAGTGAAAAGCCAGGAGTGCCTCTGTAACTGTTAAAATAAATTTATAATGGTGTTTTGCATACTGACCTTTATACATAAAATCGCCTTTCTGTCTTCAAAAATGTTATTTCGAAAATATTATTCCCCTTCAAAAATATTATTTCCTGAAATGTAGTACATATTTCAAGAAATTCAGCATACACTAAACTGTTTTCTAAGCTTTTTTCTTATATTATTAGCATTTTATTTCTGTAATTAATTTATGATTTTCTTAATCCAACATCAATAAACCAATGCATTTCACTTCAGTATTTTTCTTAAACAGACTAGTCTTGGTGAGGATTAATTTGTTATGCAAATCAACAATCATTATCCCTGACTATGACCTTCTCTAAAACGACAGTCTCCAGACAAAATCAAAATCATATGGAACAATGGATGGTCATATTACAGAGAAATTTGCTACATACACACACATGCATACATATACAATATATATCTATAAATATACATACAGATGGAGGACAAAATAATGCGAACAACTGTGAAAAAACATGACGTATTTCACATCTGCAGTACAGCCGCGCCACCTGCAACAGAAGTCTGCCACCTAGTGAGCGTGAAGAGGAAGGTATCAGTCTCTCAACAGCAGCCATCTGTGTTGTATGCTTCGATCGAAATGTCTGTGAGAAGTTGAAATGTCAGACCTGTCAGAGTTCCAAAGAGGAAGGATAGTTGGAGCACGTTTAAGTGGAGCATCGGTTACGGAAACAGCAAACCTTCTGAGGTGTGCAAGGAGTACGGTATCAGTCGTTATTACAGCCTACACAAAAGAGGGTAAGACGGCGTCTTCAAAGCACAACAATGGCCAAAAGTCAAAGCTGGCTGATAGGGATAGACGGGTCTTGAAATGCATAGTAGCCCGAAGCACAAGCAATCGTTATCCGAGATAACATCCAAAATGAATAGTCATCTCCAGGATACCCGTTTCAACAAAAACTGTCAAAAGGAAACATCATGTTGCGAACATTTATGGCAGAGTGGCAATTCATAAATCCTTGGTGACAGCAACTAACGCTTTCAAGCGACACCAATGGTGCAGAGATCACAAAGGCTGGCCCCCCACAGCAGTGTCAACAGGTAATATGGTCAGATGAATCGTCATTCACCCGATTTCAGACGACCGGACGTGTTTATGTCTGGAGAACGCCCATAGGAACTTTTCCTCCTGACTGCCTCTTGTCAACTGTGAAGCATGAGGATGGCGCCATTATGGTATGGGGTGCAATATCTTGGCACGGTCTTGGGCCACTTGTTATTCTGCATGGGAGGATCACATCCAATCACTATCTAAGCATTCTAGGGGATCGTGTCTATCCTTTTGTCCAGACTGTATTCTCTGGGAAGCGACCGCTTTTTCAAAATGACAATGCCCCTATCCACACTGCTAGGTGTATTCAAGAATGGTTTGAAGAGCATGACGATGCAACTGAACATCTCGCTTGGATCCCTCAGTCTCCGGACTTGAATATTATTGAACATTTATGGGCATATTTGGAGTCCAAACTTTGTTCCCGATTTTCAACTCCATCCGGAGTTTCGGAATTAGAACCGCTCTGTAGGAGGAATGGCTTAATATTCCTTTAAATATTGTCCATGACCTTTATGCATCTATCCCACATTGCATTCAATCTGTACTTCAGTCAAAGGGTAGTCAAACCCCTACTTATAAATTTTTTTTTATTATTTCACAGATGTTCCTTTTATTTTGTCCTCCATCTGTATATATATCTATAAAATATAAAAAATATGATGGCTTTGCGCTCCGCAAACAGGTAACCTCTAATTAACGTTCCGCAATTTCAGAATACCCCCCTAGACCAGTACTTTTGAGAACATTCTGGCATTTTATGTAACTGCTACTATAAATGAAGAGTTTGCGCCATTTTTCATCACATTGCTTTTCTCCTCCTGCCACTTAAGACCTTAGTTGCCGCTCTTCCCGTCTGTCTTTCTTTGTTTGAATAGTATGATGCAGTAAATTTAAAGTTAATCCTATTTAGTCTAAATTACTATCACGTATGTAATTTTGGAGAATCTAAAAAATAAGTGATTTGCCATTTGAATTGAATAAACATGTGGAATCAAAACAGCTAACTTATTCTGTGTCATCATTTCATGCCAAGCTTCACGTGAGTGCCCAACTGCCAAAATATGACATATATATATATATATACATATAATGCAAATCAACTCTCTTTGTATTCACATATAAATTGAGCTGAAAAACCTTAGTATTCAGATAAATAAAGCTGCAGGAAGCAGGATTAATGAATGTCTAGAGATGAATTAAAAAAGCTTTTATTCATTTATTGAAATAATTTTTATATAAAAAAAGTATATCATACATATAGAGAATACTGGTTGCTTATTTTGGAACCAAATCAAGAAAATGAAAATTTTCTTCAATTATTTAATATAGTCCCATATTAACAAAAAACATAATACTAGTTTAGATCTTTGTTATGCAAATATGGATCAGTTTGCAAAATAGTGATTTGAGATTTCTGTCACCTCCTAGAAATGATGATTCACCTCCAGTTTTTAACCATGAATATAATAGCCTATATATATAAAGGCATGGTATATAAACAATAGATCAATGAATATATAAAAATCAATATAAAGCATAAAGACCATGCACCAAATCATTGAAATGACTCCAAATATTTTATTGATATCCTTCAACAGTAATCAATTCAGTAAAGCACAAGAATTAACTTTTGCAGTATACAGAGGTTGTTTACACATTTTTTTGAATGATTTGATAAAAAAATTTTAAAAAATAAATGTTTTGGATTAAAAATTTCTAGCAACAGCTTATTAATTGGAATCAGAAATAATATCTGCTACTCTTAAATTTATTCTTCTGTCAAAATAGAGCATGTACACAAACTGTGGATTTAAAGATATGGTTTTGCACTTCCCAAAGAGAAAAATTCCTATTCCATAATTAAAAAATGTTGTGAAATGCACAGCATTAAAATAACTACCCCCATAACACAAGACATCCTCAGGATATCCTATTTAAGTCGCAATGTCCCGGGAAACAGTTAGGATATCCTCAGGATGTTGATTCTCAGATATCCTGAGGACATTCTATTCAAGTCTCAATATCCCGGGAAATATGAAGATCTCAGAATGTTAATTTTCAGATAACCTGAGGACTTCGTAAATCAACATTTTAAGGTTGCCCTGTTCAAGTCGTAATGTCCCGGGATATATGAAGATTTCCTGAGGATGTTGTTTCTCGATATCTTCAGTACTTACTTTTTATGGAAGCTGATATTTGAAAATATTAAAGTAAAGTAACCTTGTACCACACGCAAGTCATATTATAAGAATCGAAATATTACTCTATGGATTACTATTCACGTGCAAAAATAAGCAATATTTTTAATTGGAAAGAGAAAAACTGCCATTACTTCTACACAGAAAGATTCGAAACAAATACCTGAGAAAGGTATATACAATTTCTAATGTTAAGTTAAATTATTGGTAACAAGAGAAAATATGTCCATGGAAAAATCAGTTACATAGTCTTTAAACATATCTGTAGCAACAATAAATAAAATAATAAACCAAGATTTGCAGCTTAAAAAACATAACATTCACCAGATTTTACTGAGGCAGGTGGCTCAACACAGAACAATTTGTAGAACTCTGTATGAAACCTATTTAGCAGGAGATTAAGTGGAAATGCATTGTGACCCTTGATGAAGCAAGGGTTTACCTAAATGATTGAAAAAAAGGTCTATTTATTATCAAAAAATGAAGTGAAAAAGTGTACAAACTTGGTCCCATCAATGCAAAGAAAGTTTCAGTAAGGGGTTTATGACTATCACATGATTCTCTAACGATGGGAAATTAAAAATAAGAAGAGTGAGAAGAAACATTATAATCAACTCAAAATAATATCAAGAAAAAATTTTGTGTCTGATTATTTACAGAAGAGATTCAATTTCTTTATCTAAGTGACTTTTAATAAGTTTGAAAAAAATGAAAACTGATACAGGTATTGCATATATATATTTTTTTCAATGTATTCCTGTGAAGTCACCTGATCTTTCACATATGGACTATTGAGCTTTTGGTTTCTTGAAAAGAGCTCTTTCTAGATCAAACTCACCACAACTGATGGAACCTGGGTGTAAAATGCCCTTCTGTAATGGAAATCACAATGCAGACTTATAATCTACAAAAAGCGCTATCAGATCGAACATTTAAAAAAGTACTCTTTACATTTCAAACATTAATTAAATAGCCATAAAATCCTTCTAAAAATGTGCAAACACTCTCTGTAATTTGCAACTAGGGACTAATCAGAAATAAGCGATGGAACAATGAAAAATTTTATTTTCTCAATACTTTTATGCTGAATTATGCACGTTATTGTTTTTTCGATACTTTTATGCTGCAAATGACGAAAGTTCTATATTTAAAGCTTTAAAACTAGTCTCAATGTTATGAATATTATACTGATTCTTGTTAACTTCGCTCCTCCAATAAGTATATAAGTAATTCAGTCTTCGTGAAAATTGAATTACTTATATAGTCTCTCAGAGACCGTCATTATATTTCAATTAGAAATGGTCACATTTCAGTACATATTTGGAAAACACTGACTTGTAAGGTAAAACAATAAATCCTAATATACTTAAAAAACTAATATACTTAAAAAAACAATAACATGATTGACTTGAAATAAAAATAGATATATTAACTTTAGAACACATCTGGAGTAAAACTTACATAAAAATTCATTCTTCCTGAAGAGCACTATTTTCTAATAAATTGATAACTTCTTGATAAAAGTCAGTAGAAGAGAAATTCATACCCCTACTCATGAGGTTCTGTAATGCGGTTGCTTCATACTTTGCTTTATTATGTAGTTCAAGCCACCAGCTTTGAGAGTCAGGCTTCAATGTAAAAGGTGAGACAGGTTCAGGACAGCCATAATGATTCAGATTAGCTTGATATTTTAATGGCATGTTTCCTTTCAGAGCTCTTCTGTGGTTGTGTGCCACTCTTTTGCAAACCATACATTCAAAGCACTCAATGAAATTTCTTTTAGTGTGATCATTATTGATTCCCCATTCTCTATTTGAAAGAGCTTCAATTAGTCTTTGATTGGAAATTTTGCCTAGAATCTTATGCTCTAAATACCGTTCATAAGCTTCATCATCAGTCTGCAGCCTCAATAAATGCTCAGCTAGCTGTTTCGGACTTGCAAAATTCTTAGTTAAAATAGCAGAGTCAGGGTTTGGAAGCCAATCCTAGATTTTAAAGAAGAAATTTAAAAACTATTTTAAAACACATTTTAAAATTATTTAGAATTTTTAACATTTATATTCTGCACCTTTCAATTAGGAATACACGTTATGATTAAAATAACAGTACATAGAAAGGAAAATAGTCAATTTAATCTTTCTATCTCGCTTAGGTTTGGTTTGGTTTGTTTTGCAGTCGAGCAAGGTTAATTGCAATTAATGTGGGGCTTGATGCCCTCTCGGCTTATGATTGTAATTTTGAGGAACCGTGGATTTTATCGGACAGCGGCAGTGCACTACAATATCTTGGTGGCTGGTTGTCCGCATGCGATGAAACCAGCATATCTATTCTTCTCAAACTCAGGAAGATCTCTCAGACTCATGACGTCCACCTCCAATGGATTCCATCACATGTTAATATTAGTGGTAACGAGGTCTCTGATAGACTGGCAAAAGAAGGCAGTGAAAATGAAACGGTCATTGGCTCCTCACTTATTTACCAAGAACTTTACTCAAATGAAAGATCTTAATATAATATGCTGTATGCACCAATGGTACACAGGAACATCCCCTGGCTTCTCTACTGGAAATCAAATGTGACTGTGGCTCCCAGACTGCTCTGGCTGAACTAAAAAGTGGCCTTTGATAGTCACAGAAAAATCCACCCCGCTTGTAAAAAATGCTGTCACTATCCAGCTTCACCAGATCACATACTGAGTTGCATCGAACTTTCTAAGGAGCACTTAACATCCGATCCCCTCATTGTTAGTGATTTTTTGACGGTCAACAACCTTCTGGAGCTCATCTGACATATGTCAGATCTTTCGAGGATAAGCAACAACAACTTGAGGGCTATCTGCCTAAAGGAAGGGATGCTTTCATGGATAACTTTCAAAGGTTAATTAGCTCATACACATGTTACACATGGGCAAAACACCCATGCTGCCAGTCAATTCGCCAGGATTCAAACTACGGACCAAACTACCAGTATTCAGTAATTTTACCACTCAGCTGCTGGTGGGCCTATCTAGTTTAGGAAGCTATTCCTAGCTAAATATTAATTTAGGACTGATTTTTCAACTAACCATAAGTAACTAAAATTACTAATAATTCATGTTTAAGAAAAATAGTTTACATTTTTTTAATTTATTAAGTATAATATTTTCATTTCTTCAAATCAAAAAATGATATATTTTTTATTATAATTCAATTTAAAATGCATGCTTTCCTTTCTCCCTTCACAATGACATATTTTCAGAGAACCATATAACTGATAGAAATATACATTTTTATTGTAAATAAAGATACACTTATACAGTAAAAAATTTATAGAAAATGCTTGTAGATCATTCTATTTGAAAGGTAAAAATTTATAACTGAGTCACTTTTAAAGTAACACTCACCAGAGCTTGCTCACCTAATCCAGCAATTTTGATATTCCTGCAAGGGCTCTTGGTAGCAATCTCAGATTAGCTGTTATACCATTTTGGATAGTTTGAATTGCCTAAAATGTTGATTTCAGAAAATCTTCTTGAAGGCGAGTCAGAAAATGGATAATTAAATATATCCAAATCCCAGTGATCGAGTTGTGAAAAAATCTATTTCTAATCAAAGAAATCTTAGCCTTTTTTAATTAAATGCCCTTGATTCAAAAAGCAGTACTGTAACCAAAGGTCAAAAAAGGCTTTAGCTCTACTTGCTTTATGGTACAAATTATGCTGTCCCGGATGATGTAACTTTATACATTTTGCCTACGGAATGCACAATAATATACTCTAACAGGTAAATTTAATTAATGCAAACTTCATACACATGACTTTTCAAGAAACCTTTTGATGAGATGCATATAATAATATATACAACACCAAAATAACAGTGACAAAGTTATCTAATTTATTTTCAATAATTACAAATAGAAATAATTACATATCATATTTTTAAACAAAAGTGTGTTCTACAATATATTTACACTTTCACATTACTTGAAATAATATGTCACCTTTTGAGTTGCTTTCTCATAATGCTTACGAGCAGCAAAGTCACATCACCATTCATTAAGCAGTGGATAGAGAAATCCTCTCCTGTGTAACAAAGCTTTTACAGTTTCCTATTTTTACATATAATTGTCTGATTGAGATCATTTGTTTTTATTACAAATATATATTTATCTCTAAAGAATAAAACCATGAAAAATTTGTTTTAAAAGTGCAATGAAATCTCTTACAAAAGACACTTCTGAAAGTGATTAACATTTCTGAGAATATAATTAAATATCGGCATTTACCAAATATATTTTTTTATTTGTAAATAAGAGTAAATATTAGATAAATATAATATTTTATAGATATGTAAAAAGTTTACTTAATGGTTATAAAATGAAGTTTTTTTTTTTTTTTTTTTTTTTTTTTTTTTTTTTTTTTTTTCCCTTCCCAATTACCACTTGAGAAACTGAGGAGACCTTGTTAATTTAATTCTCAATTAATTTTGAAGTTTATTCAATTAAATTAATATAATACATATAATTTAAGAGTTACACATAGAATGATAATTTTTGTTTCTTCTGACAAAATTTCAATCAAAAGCTTTTTATATTTGAATTGTAATTCGTCTTATCTACACATTTATAATTTTTGATAGAAATTTGATTTATGTATAATAGGCAAGTATCTTAAGCATGTTAAACATAAACACTAACAAATTTGATGTTTCATTTTAATACTTAAATTTAAGGAAGTCTTTAAAACTAAAGCACATCATTTTAAACTAAACACAAAAACTAGGAAACACAATTTCATTTGAATCTAACATGAAAAAAAAAAAAAAAAAAAAAAAAAAAAAAAGGGAATTCTTCAAAACATTTTCAAGGTATAGAAAGGAAACAAATGCTTAGTAAAGACAATAATGAGTAAAATTTCTTTCTGAAGTTAAATGAGATTGCACTGAAGGCTTTCATCAGATAAGAATCCTAAATATTCACAAATATATCAAACCAATGAAAATATATATGAATTAAACAGTTGGATTATAAATATGATTATCACCTATAAGTACATCAAGCTAATCTATGATGTCAATGAGAAGGACAAGTTTAAAGATATTCTGCAGCAGCATCATAATGCTTTATAAGTATTAACATATTTCGTACAAAGAGCTAGAAATTCCAAGTCAACAAGACCAAAGTATTAGAAGAGCTGGTTACATAACAGCATGCATACATATTAAACAGGCTTTAGAAGGCTCAAATAAACTAGCAGCATAGAGGATTATTTGACCTGCTGCTAAACATAAGATGCTCTAAGAGTTTCGTTGTCCATCATACAAAGATGAATGGCACCATCATTCAACATTCACTTCACATCTGTACGCAAAACATATCTGAGTATTAAGCAAAAGACATTTAATGCTATGGCAGCTAATATAGGTCCACTAAGTGAAGCCAGTTATGTTATTTTTGCAGTGGTATCATGAACAAGAAAGCTGAGTACTATAGAGCAAAACAATAACATCTTAGCAACAGATCCAAGTTTTCTTTAGGGTACATGACAACAATCATGTTTGAATATGGAGGCCTGATGCTAGAAGCTTCAGCTTCATCTTTGCTGAAGAAGGATACACAGCCCCAAATGCTGGTGTGATGATCTAAGGAGCCATCACATAAGAAAGTCAATATTCCTAACCGGCATATATAACGGTACTAAAACTCAGTGATTTGTGAAGGACATTTTGAGCCCATACACGTTGCATTTTAAGGTCGAGATTCCAATGAACATTTTTAGCAAGGTAATTTTTACCCACCCATAGCAAGGAATTCCTAAGAATGCCTCTGCCAAGTTGAGAGACTTCTTTGATCAGCTCAATCACCAGATTATTGCCAATCAAGCATTTATGGAAGCAGGTGAGACAACCCATTTTGGCAGTTTTTGAGTAAGCTGGATCCAGAGCAATATCTATGTACAAATATGCTGAAAAATACTACACATGACCTATATGTCTCCATGCTCAAAATATTTCATATCTTGTATCTATGCCATAGCTCAAAAGAGCACTACAGCCTTCTCTGAACAGTACAATTTTATCGATAAACATTTCCTTCTATTCTAACATCACAAGCATTTACATATATCAACATTACATTCAGACATATAAAGTTTTATTTGATTATAACAATTTCTTCTTTATGTGCTCTTCCAGAGTGGAAGGACTGTGAGTGAAAGAATCTAGAAAACTGAAAACTAGTGCAAGAAGTACAGCTAGGATGACTGAAAGTTTATCGAGAAGAAAATATGAAGAGCATAACTATATGTAAGATTTTATGTGTTAATTACATGGGCATTTAACATAGTTACATAAGGATTTGATAATATTAACACCTAAATTAATTTTTATCTGGACCATAGTTGTAAGGTAATGCAGTATATTGAACAATTAAAAAAAGTCTTTTTCTTCAGAATTACAAATATTTGAAATTTGGTTGTCATATCATGTTAAAGTTAATATTGTAAAATGTTTCTAAAAGTTCAATAGTAAGTGAGAAGGAATAGTATATACAGGAATCTCTGTTGGATGAACTAGAATGTTCTTTGAAGAAAAGTCTAGGTGCATTAGGCATTCCACACATTAAGTGAACTTGTTATTTTTTATTTTACAACATATGCATGTCTATGGAGTAAATTTAAGTTACACATCATAATTTTTTATGCATTCTCAAAAATGAACCTAATTTTTTTTTTAAATAATAAAAATTACACAGGGAAAAAAGTGCATATTCTTACCTCTACAGCAGGTGAACCATAATAAATAGGGACAGATCCTATAACAAGTGGACGCCAAAGTTTTTCTGTTATGTAATCTCTACAAACTGCATTTTCAAAGGCTAAATTAAATTTGTATTGAGAAAGAGTAAACCAAAATGCATCAGAGTTCATGCCACTCATTGCATCAGAAAGCCTAAAAAATTCAGAGAATGAAAAGAAGCTACAAAGAAACATTCAGAAATTGAATAAAAAGTTTTCAATTTCAAGTCACCTTATAAAGTAATTTAAATGGCATGAAATTCATAATATGAAAGCCTTAGTGACATTATCTGCATTATCATCATTAAAGGGAAACTTTCATGAGCTGAAATATCACAGTTCATGGATTAACATCAATTTCAATCATATTCAGTTTTTTTTTTTATTTCAATAAAGGTACTCATATATTAATGCCACCACTTCGGCACTATATGGTATTCTCATATAGAAGGGAAAAAATTATTTATAATTGCAAAAAATTATTTATGGCTTGCATACATATTTTTTCATTTTATTTAGGTATGCATCTAAAAAATCAATTAATAAACCTAGTTGCAAGCAGTTTTTATTTCTTCCAATCTGACGGAAATTTCTTAGTAATCGCTTTAATCTTATGGAAATTTCTTAGTAATCGCTTTAAAAATATATCTAAATCAATTCCTTTAGCAATTCTGGAACAAAATACTGTTTTCTTGCAAAACAATTAATGTAGTTTCATGGAAATTTCTTAGTAATCGCTTTAAAAATATATCTAAATCAATTCCTTTAGCAATTCTGGAAGAAAATACTGTTTTCTTGCAAACAATTTAATGCAGTTTCTTCCCCTGCCGGAAAATCCCACAAGCACATATTTTTAAATTTATAAGACAAAAAATATCAGAATTTCTCTACAAAAACTGCTGGAACTTAAAATACTAAAAAGAAATCACACAAAGTTAGCAACAGGCTTATTATAGCCGAAGAATAGTTACATGCATTGTTGCAGAATTTGGCACATTCTGAAAAAGTTGGCATCTTTTACTAAAGTGGTTGCACTAATACACAAAAGCCCTAATTAGTTTACACATTTACTTAGAAATAACATTCAATAACACAGGGTAATGCATGAAAAATGGGTTGTCTGGCTGTATAAGCCTTCCGTATCACAATTCTTTGAAGATAATACATCTCGCTCATCATCTGCACATGGTTTTCGTACCCTAGTCTCCAAGGTTTTTATGTTGATAATGGGATAGTTAAGTATAGTTACAGTAATGATGCAAATGAGCTGCATCTGTCTGTGCATGCATGCAGATGAGTTTTCAATGTGCCCTCTGTAGATTGCTACTTATGCAAGAGATTTACAGTCACTAAAAAAATCTCAGAATATTAAAATTTTTAATTACATTATAAAGAGAAACTTACTCATTAATCACTATACTTAAAAAAGATTGCTAGCAAATAAAAGAAAAATCAACTTTTAGCCCAAATGACATTAACTGGGTTGTTTAATGAACTCAGCGTAATAATGGAAGACAGGCATCATCTTATTCCTGCAAGTCTGTTCAGAACCGCAGAAGAATTTCCTAAAGCATACAACTCTGTTTCATCGCATTGGATATGATAGTTTCATGACTACAGTCAAAAGTCGTTAATCCGGACTCATCGGGACTTCGGCGATTCCGGATTATCGATTTTTCCGGATTATAGATCATCAGTTTAAATCTGGTAAGATGGCATGCAGAAATTATAAAATTAAAAATATGAAACCGTAATTTATGAAATAAAGAACAATTACGATCTAAAGGGCATCAAAATTTACAAAAAAAAGCTTAATATTTATTTTACTTTATTAAACATTTCTTTCAATGTTAGTTGTTTAAGTTGCTTCGTTTTTTATGTGATAATACTTTCTCTTTAATTCTATAAACAGACATAATTTCTTGTTCAGTTACAAAGTTCCGCTGTTCAGTCCTATAATTGCTGTGTCTACCAACTAATTTGTCAATCGAAATTTTTTCGTTTTCAATAACCTCTGTCACTTTCTTCGCTATTCGGAAGCGAATTATAATGACGAGGAATTTGATTTAAATCATATGAAAGACGGAGTACATCGAGATGAAATACTACATTTAGTAAGGAATTATAAACCAAATACAGTCAAAAGTCGTTAATCCGGACTCGTCGGGACTTCGGCGATTCCGGATTATCGATTTTTCCGGATTATAGATCATCAGTTTAAATCTGGTTAAATGGCATGCAGAAATTATAAAAGTAAAAATATGAAACCGTAATTTACGAAATAAAGAACAATTATGATCTAAAGGGTATCAAAATTTACAAAAAAAAAAGCTTAATATTTATTTGTTTACTTTATTAAACATTTCTTTCAATGTAAGTTGTTTCAGTTGCTTCGTTTTTTTTTTTTTTTTTTTTTTTTTTTTTTTTTGGATAATACATTCTCTTTAATTCTATAAACAGACATAATTTCTTGTTCAGTTACGAAGTTCTGCTGTTCAAGTCCTATAATTGCTGTGTCGAGAATAACGACTAATTTGTCAATCGAAATTTTTTCGTTTTCAATAACCTATGTCACTTTCTTCGCTATCGGAAGCGAATTATAATGACGAGGCATTTGATTTAAATCATATCAAAGACGGAGTACATGGAGATGAAATACTACATTGAGTAAGCAATTATAAGCCAAATAAAATAAAAACATCTGCTCTTAAGATAAGGATAGTGCTGACAAATCAACTTCCAATTCATTACACGCCGCCGCAGCGTTAAAGATAAACAAAGTTTAGATAAACAAACGTTTAAGTTTAGATAAACAAAGAATATGCCTTTATCCATTTTTTGTTTAATGGACTCCAAAAGATACTTTCGCTTTGTATATCCTTTACATATTAGTAAATATATGTTGGAAATTCTATTTGACATAATCGAAAGTTCAAGCTTACTTTTATAAAATTGCTCTAACAGTCTTCAAAAAATAATAATCCGGATCCAACTCGAACATTAAGGAACAACGCAATCTGCAACATTAAATGAAATAGATAATTAGATAACTTTAGCTTAGCTTATCCCGTCCGTTATACATTAAACGCGCATTCGTAAACGTATTTTGCGCACGCGCACACGCAAATTCGCAGCGGTAAAGGTCTTATGCGCATGCGTCAACGCTACGCATGCGCAGAAAGTTTGTAGCTTTGAGGTCCGGATTATAGATCATTCCGGATTATGGGTGTCCGAATTAACGACTTTTGACTGTAAAATAAAAACATCTGCCCTGAAGATAAGGATAGTGTTGACAGATCAACTTCCAATTCATTGCGCGCTGCGGTGTTAAAGATAAACAAAGTTTAGATAAACAAAGGATATGCCTTTATCCATTTATTGCAGCAATTCCACTTTTTGTTCAATGGACTTCGAAACATACTTTCGATTTGTATATCCTTTACATATTAGTAAATATATATCAGAAATTTTATTTGACATAATCGAAAGTTCAAGCTTACTTTTATAAAATTGCTCTAACAGTCTGCAAAAAATAATAAGCCGCATCCAATTCGAAGATTAAGGAACAACGCAATCTGCAACATTAACTGAAATAGATAATTAGATAATTTTAGCTTAGCTTATACCGTCCGTTATACATTAAACGTGCACTCGTAAATGTATTTTGCGCATGCGCACAAGCATATTTGCAGCCGTAAAGGTCTTACATTCTGCGCGACGCATGCGCAGAAAGTTTGTAGCTTTGAAGTCCGGATTATAGATCATTCTGGATTATGGGTGTCCGAATTAACGACTTTTGACTGTATATATCACTTTCTTGGAAACGGAAAAAACAAGCAGTTTTGCACATAAGAAAAATATGAAAATGTCAGCATATTTCTGGAATGTATATAAAGAACTCAAATGTATAGCATGAAACACTGTCTTGTTGAAAGAAACTATCACACATATACACATATGTTATATGTGCACATATGTTTGGTGCATGAATTCATACGATTAGCAATGATTGATGATCAGATACTGGTATGAATCAGGGTTTCTCAAATTTCTTCTTCATGAGCCAGTAAAAATGTTTATAGCTTAATGGTAAATTAAACAAATTCTAATACTTAAGTATTTCTCCTTTATTGTGACAATAACAAAAATACATACAAAAATGTAAGTCAATTAAAAAGTTTTAATGTGGAATGTGATGCTGCTTCTCATTAACTAGAACTTTCATCTCTACAGAAAAAAGATGACAATTTTACTCTTAAATCTCATTGAAATATCTAACTAATTTTTTTTTTTCTCCCAGTATCGAGAAAGCTGTTTCACGTTTGTAAGTTGTAATGAGAAGCATTAAAAACTTAACTGCCTTTTGTAGCAAAAACTGATACTTGATGACAGCACAACTAAACTTGCCAAAACTATCAATGGTGTTCTGTCAAAGCTGTCTTATTAAGTGCTGTGACACAAAACAGTTCAATTATGGATGGAATATCCAAATCCAATAATTCCTTTTCTGATTATGTATTAATTCTGAAAGGGTTTCTTATCTATGATTGGTCCTACGAATTGAAGAAAAATATTCTTTGAGATTTGTCTGTAATTCTATCAGATGTTCACTGATAGCAAATGAAATTTCCATTGGGCATGGAACTGATATTGTATTATCTTTGCTCTTTTGTTAGCTTCATAAAAGCATTATGATTTCCTCCTTTTACAAGAAGGGTCCACAAACTGAGTTTTTTCATTGTAGCTTCCATCTTTTCTTGCCCTTTAAATACAGTTACCTTGGAATGAAAAATTTATTTTTAAAATAAGAAAATGTCACAAATGTAAAACAACTTCATCAACTCATTAACATCACTAATACAATGTTTAAATTTGAATATGCCATCTTTAGCTGTTGGTTTAAAAGCTTTAAATAAAAATTTATCTAATTTCTCAAAGTCTTGTTTACATATTGCACTTAATAACCAAGAATTCTAAGAAAGATGTTATATAAAATTTATAAATTTTATAAACTGCTATGCAGGAGTGCTATTTTGCAAGCTGCTATGCAGGAGAGTATAAAAACTCCTGCATAGCAGTTTGCATAAGGAATAGCATATTTTTTTTAATGGCCGAGGCTTCTCAGCATATGCTGCAACGTAATCATACACATTC